CACACACACACACACACACACACACACACACACACACACAATAGTAAGTAAGCAAGTATGCTAAGCCATATATATAACACTAGGAGAACGATGAGCATATGAACTTTGCGGGCAGAAGCACTAACTGCTACACATTCCCCCGTTTGGTAGGTGGCACATCTGAGCATCAAAAGCTCTGCCGTGCCCGGGACCAGTGCCGAGAGATTCTCAAGTTTGTAAATGAAGCAGTGAAGCAGACAGAGAACCGTCACCGATTAGAGAGCTACCAGAAACGCCTAGATGCCACTGCCCTAGAGCGGGCCAGCAACCCCTTGGCAGCAGAATTCAAGGTAGGAGGTGGAGGCTGCAATACTGGCAGCCCCTCACACACATCCTTTTTGGGCCCCCTTAGGAGCAGAACTCAAGTCAGAGCCCAGTGAGTCTTAGAAGTAAGAGACATGGCCTGTCTGTGGTAGGGTGGCATGGTTAGGTCATGAGAGGCACACCCTGTTAATGTCGCTCATCCCTAGATTAACAGGAACAGACAGCCTCACTAAGTAAAAAGTAGATGTTGGAACTTAGCCTCAAGAAATAGAATGGGGCAGGACTGGAGGTAAAGGAAGAATAAAACTGAAGAGAAGATCAGGAAAAGCAACACTGTCTCCTTGGAAAGTTAGGTGGCATGTAGTATGCCAAGTGGGAATCCCAAGTCAGAGCAGCACAGGCACAGGGCTCCGTAGCACACTTGACTTCTCTCCATCCCCTACAAGAGCTCAAAGGTAACACTTGTTTCCTACCCACTGATTCCCAGCACCTTAGCGAATGTCCATGCACAGTGATTCTTAAAACTTGTTGCATGAATGGAACGATGGTGTCTCCTTTCAGAGCCTGGATCTTACAGCAAGGAAGATGATCCATGAGGGACCACTGACCTGGAGGATCAGCAAAGACAAGACCCTGGGTATGTGCTGGGGACTGGGAATTGGAGGGAATCTGTGGCGAGTGTGCTTCTCCAGGGTTCATTCTTCTCTGCTGCAGAGGCATTAAAAGCTGCTGCTCTAAGGGTACTGGGATGCTGGGGAGGCAAACATACGCAGCAGGGTGGCAGCGCACAGCTCCTTAAGCACAGTGTGGGAAGGGAAGACAGAAAAAAAGAGTTGGAGTCACTGGATTCCTGTGGCCTCCTAGTCCTGGGCATGGACTTCTAATAGCCTCTGTGTGACTGAGCAACAGGGATCGTCTTTAATTGTCAGACCTGCAGGTGCTGTTACTGGAGGACCTTCTGGTGCTGCTGCAGAGACAAGAGGAGAGGCTGCTGCTCAAGTGCCACAGCAAGACAGCTGTGGGCTCTGCGGACAGCAGACAGACCTTCAGCCCTGTGCTGAAGCTCAACGCTGTGCTCATCCGTTCCGTGGCTACAGGTACCGTGAGGACATGAGTCAGCAAGCTTGGGGCTCTGTGTCCTGTTCATCGTTCACTCTGCTTACTAGCACTGGGTGATGTAGGCCCATTCTGGAGCTTTACAAGACTTGAGGTCCTGGGTTCCTTTCCTATCTTGGCCCAGTCTAAGCAAGATCTGGTCCAAGATGGCAGGGTGCAGGGTAGGTAAGGGACCATGGTGAAGACCATGATGGATGGGATGGGTGCGCTGGGTGGAGCTGAGGATGTCAGAGCAAGAATGAAAGAAACAGGAGCAGACATAAAGACTGGGACAGACCTTGTGCAAGAATGCCTTGGGCAGAGCATAGTTCAAAACAACCACACCTACAGCACAGACTCGAGCCCAGAAATTTGAGGTAGCAGGGCAGTCAACCACATTCTCTGGGATCATTAATGACACCTGACCTCCCTGAGCAGCTCAGAAAGGATGGGGTAGACATGGAAAGATTTGGTACCCCGAAGCACTATATGCACATCAGCCCTCAGTTAACAGAGCAAGAGGGAAGTAGGAATGGCCCTGACAAATGTCATTGGGGGCCCATAATTGCCTGTGTCTTTTGGTGAATGCCAATTAATTCTGATGACCCAGGTATATCCCATAGTGCTTTCTTCATGTTGGGGACTTTCTGCCTCCTTCCTCACACAGATAAGCGAGCCTTCTTCATCATCTGTACTTCTGAACTGGGCCCTCCCCAGATTTATGAGCTGGTTGCATTGACATCATCGGACAAGAATATGTGAGAATTGATTGCGGGGTCCCGTATAACTTCTGTCCCCTTGGAACCAGAGTGGTTTGTAGAAGGATTTGAGCAATGAGACCAGGACTGGGCCCCAGAGCAGTTCCTGAATGGAAGACTAAGAAGTTAAGAGGCAGCATAGGCACAGAGCAGCAGAAGCCATCACCCAGGATGTAACCAGGCCTGGGCTAAGTAAAATAAATCCATGTATATCTACCCCATGTTTCCCAACACTGACTGCTAGAGGTGGCATGGCACAGTGGGCAGAGACAGGTTAAATCAGACAGTTTCTTCCCCTCTGGGTTCTCATTTTGAAAGGGGAAATGAGTCTTATAAAAGTGTTAATATCTAGTAATTGGTAGCTGTGAGTCATAGAAATCTAGGGGAATGGCCAGTGAGAAGTGTTGATGGAGGTGAAAACCTGCCTAGCAGAGGGTCCTTGAGATAGAATATGGAGAGGGCTTTGAAGGTTTTTGGCAGTAGGGTCCACAGAGGACAGGGAGTGTACCTGGCCTTATTCTCACCACTGGGCTTGTATTCCTGCCGAGCAATAGATGGATGGAACTCTTAGAAGAGGCCGTGCAGAATGCCACCAAGCACCCTGGAGCTGCCCCAACACCCATCCATTCTTCACCACCAGGATCCCAGGAGCCAGCCTACCAGGGCTCCACCCCTAGCAGGTATGGTGCTTAGTCCTCCATTTCCCAGCACCATTCCCCGTCCAGCCTGCCTTTCTTGATACTCCTCAGCCTTTTCACCACTAGGGTAGACAGGTAGTCTCCACAGAGAAATACCATTGGGAAACAGATGGAAGAACATGCCTCTGCTTTTTTGCCTTCTGTCCTCCCTGCTCTCCCACCACCTCGCATTTGGATATAGTGGAGATGCCCCTGAAGCAGGGTTCTGGTATAGAATGCAGCTAGAGGAGCTAAGCCAACACCCAGCTTCCACTGTCAGCCTGTGCAGCCCATCAGGTGGTGAGGCCCAGCTCCTTCTTCCTTGCACCCTGCTCCTTTATTGCCTGTGAAAGATATGAGGGGACCAGACTAGATTTCATGACACCTTGACCAGGCTGGCAAAGCTAGAAATTGCCACCAGGTGGTCTGCTTTAACCTTTAATGATTTCTTCCCTCAGGGTAGAAATAAATGACTCAGAAGTTTACCATACTGAACCAGAAACCAAGGAACTATCTGGAGGTAAGGCCCCTCTCCATCATGTGGGAAACCAGCATTGTCTTTTTGTGTGTGTGGGTATGGGTCAGATTAAGGTGTCAGATGATGAAAGAGTCCATCAGGGCAAGAGGTATGAGAGGTACCACTTGATAAAATGAGTAGAAGGGAAATGGGAGAGGAAACTGACTGACAGCTTGACCAACTTTTGCTGCCTCTGTGGGTAACAAGGTTAGGAGAGAAATACCCTTGCCTGCTTCAGCCAGAGATTACTGTCATAGAGCAAGATGCACACAGAGAGTGAGGAGTATTGGGGTATGCAAGGACTTAAGATGTCACTTTTGGGATAGGATGTAGAAGCACAGTTTTCAGGTAACTTCTCTTTGAGGTTTTTTATTTTTAAATAACTTAAAATTAAGAGTTCCCTGCCTTGTCACTCATCTATGCTCTTTCACTTAGAATGTCTTTCTCTGTGTCCCACGCATCCTTCATAGCTTGGTTCCAGCAGTTGCCCCATGACTGTTTTTGTTGTTTATGTCAATTAGTAGTATAACCAGTACTTCTAATGCCCATACCCTGATCTGTTTTATTTTTTTTTCCCATAATACTCAACACCTTCTAACAAATGCCTGATTGCCTAGTTGATTTTGATTGCATCCCAGGCACAGTCTCTGTCTTCTGGTATTTGTCGGGGTCACAGGAGGTGCTCCATGAACTTCCAGAGAACTTACTAACCAGGGCTCCCAAGCCCTGGGTCCACAGCTGGACATGGGCTCACCTCATACTTCTGCTCTCCCATACCCTAACACACGCATCCAAAACAGGCCCTGGGCCCCAGCAGAGTTTTCAAGAGAAGCAGCTGGTAGCACAAGAAAAGCCTGCACAGGAGGAGGATGCAGAGGAGCTGAGGGCCCTGCCTCACCCTTCCCCTTCCCTGGATGGAGAAAACAGAGGCATCAGGACAAGGGACCCTGTCCTTCTGGCCCTCGCAGGCCCTCTAGTCATGGAGGGACTTGCTGATGCTGCCCTGGAAGATGGTAAGTGCCTCAAAGACTTTTTCATTGGCCCCTGGTATCCCAGTAGCATAGCCCATATGAATTTCACCTTCTACCTACTCAAAGGTTCTTACTTTATGGGAGCTGTACGCAGGAATACCAACTAGTCAGCCAGAAACCCAGCAGCTCCACGCTTAGATTGCAGCAGATTGACCGTGTTAGTGGCAGGAGCAACGATACCCCTCATCTCCCCTGAGCTTTCCCATTACTAAACTGTGTTCAATCCTTCATCTGGGAGGCCATTCCTCTGTCTTTCCTGCAGTGGAGAACTTGCGGCACCTGATCCTGTGTAGCCTGCTGCCCAGTCACACTGTGAAGACTCAGGCTGCTGGCGAGCCTGAGGATGACCTCACACCCACCCCTTCTGTCATCAGCATCACCTCTCACCCCTGGGACCCAGGATCCCCAGGGCAAGCTCCCACTATAGGTGACAACACCCTGAGGCTAGAGGGAAGCCAGCCAGATGGGGAGGATGTGGCTCTCTGTTCTCTGGCACAGCTGCCCCCAAGGACCAGAAATTCTGGCATCTGGGACTCTCCTGAGCTGGATAGAAATCCAGATGAAGAGGTTTCAAGCACAGAACCAGCAGGAAGTTACAAAGTTGTAAGAAAAGGTAAAATATGTTTTTGTGTCCATTGTATTCACAGTTTTGCTGGGGTAGAGATGAATATTGCAGGGAGACACTTCTTTTTCCATCTTTCTCCTGGATCCTGTGTGAGCACTGGCATTGGGACCTGGGGGAAAAGACATGTTGATATGAAGAGCCCTGAAGTCAGACAAGCAAGGAGCAACACCCTCATTTGCTAGTTAATGTCTGTGTGTCTTAGACAAAATTCAAAGTATATCCTCACTTTCCTTCTATAATAGAGCCAGCACAGATCAACCTCCAAGAAAGTTTTTTGCTATTCTTCACTGATTTAGATAATCTAAAGAAAAAAGTTGGAGTGGAGTAGAAAGAGAGAGAGAAAGAGGTCACTTTTCCCAGGAGATTCAGTTTTAGAAAAATGAGGGCAAATACCTGTTATTCCAGAAAGTGGCTAAGAACAGAGGAGCTTAAGACAAAGCTGGGAAGACTCTTGAAAATGGGGGTGGTCTGGGAGCAAGTGCATGTGCAGAGTGGTAGAGAGGATATTCCAAGTTGGGGATACTGTGGGCAGCTCTGTGACAAATCCAGCCAGGCCTGAATAGACCAGGAAGGCAATGGAGGAGGGAAGGCTCTCCTGAGGAGTGTGGCCAGAATGGTAATACCAAGTCTGGGCCACTGGAGGCTGAGAGGATTGTTTGACATCAGTCCCTTGTGCCTTGCTGCCCCCTGCTCTGTTGGCCAAAGGCTGCCTCTCCTGGGCTTCTGGGAACTGACCTGCTCCTGCTCTTCCAAGGTGACTTTGTGGAATGTTCTCTTCAGCTCCTGGGACAGGGCCATTTATAATCTTGTACTCACTTTGTTCTTTTCTTCCTTTATTCTTGTTATCCCCGACATGTCCACTTCTTTATCTCTCTCCTTCGCGCTTTCTCTCCCTCCTTTCCCCTTGTCTTATCTCTCAGTCTCTCCTCTCCCTGGTGGTGGTGTCGGTGCAGCCAAGGTGGCGGGCAGCAAAGTTATCCCTGCACTACCAGAGAGTGGCCAGTCAGAATCTGAGCTATCTGAAGTGGAAGGCGGAGCACAGGCTACGGGTAATCAACTTCTTTTTACAGCCAAAGCCAGGCCAGGCTGTAGCAGGGGTCCCATGGGCTAGAATTGGGCCTTGGCTGTCAGAGTTCTTTTACCCACAAACATCCTGTGTGCTCCCTGAGCTGTCTGAGATGGTTGGGAAGTAGCATGTGAGCCCAAAGACAGCAAGGAAACCTGTACCTCCTCCAGCTTTGAAAAAACATTCACTGGGAGATGTAGAGGCCCAGTTCAGAGCTTTCTGCCTATGCTCGGGTCTGGAAGAAAGCAAAAAAGTCTGGCCAGTGCCCACACTCCAGTGTATTTAACCTGACATCCTGAGCAACCACTTCCCAATCCTGTCCACTCCTCTAGTACTGTGGTGAGAAAAGGTTTGCATGGCTTTACAGGTTCCTTTGTGTTTCTCCATGGTCAGTTGGTGTTTCTAGGGGATGGTGACATGTGGGGCAGTGTTGATATGCATCATTGAAATACTGCTGCCTGCTGCTTTCCAGGGGGGGCTCAAACCTCTTACCCCTTCCTTCCATGAATGGGAGCCACTCTCTTTCTCCCTCAGCGTAACACCTCCATCTTGCCCCTTCTTCATTCTCATCACTGAGCATCTTCCCCTGGCAGGTGGGGAGCAGTTGCCATCTAAAGGGAAAAGCATGGGCCTGTATGCACTAGGTTGTCTTAGAAGCCTCCCTGGCCCGTTCTGTCACAGGGTACTCTGAGGGACTGGGAGAATGACTTAGACGTGTCTGCTTGACTAATTTCTTTCTCTTGCCATCGGTATAGGGAACTGTTTTTATGTCAGCATGCCATCAGGACCTCTGGACTCCAACACTGAGCCTACCAGGACACCCCTAAGTCCCTCACAGCCTCACAGCCTCCCTACATGGCCAACAGAGCCTCAGCACCAGAGGGGAGGCATTGGGGATCAAATGTGTTCCAGCGGCTCTTCCCCCAATCTGGTCCTCAGGGATATGGGTGTGATCTTTCATACCATCGAGCAGCTTACCATCAAGCTCCACAGACTCAAGGTAAAGAGCATGACCCAGGACAGTTATATATTTGGATAAGCAAATGTTCATGTGTATAGATATACATATATACATATTCACATATATTATATACATATATATATATATAAAAATGTATATGGAATTGCGCCTAGGGCTTCATACATGCTAGAAAAACACTCTACCATTAGGCTCCATCCCCAGTTCACCTTCAGCTCACCCTGCCACACCCTCTGAGCCTTAGCCCTGGGACTCAGACGCCCCCCGCCCCCCCTACAACTCTTCTAGGACATGGAACTGGCCCACAGAGAGCTTCTCAAGTCCCTTGGAGGAGAGTCGTCTGGGGGGACCACTCCTGTGGGCAGTTTTCACACAGAGGCAGCCAGATGGACAGATCACTCTCTCTCTCCACCAACCAAGGAAGCACTGGCCTCTGACTCCCAAACCAGTCAGGAGTTCTGCCCTGAGGAAGGTGAGTAAAGCCAGTTCCTGCACCGCCACCTTGAGGGAATGCATAACCAAGTGCTCGGGTGGGCCCATGACTCTTTCCCTGAGGTGTGACCAACACATTCCCTCAGCTTCAGAAAGGGATCTTTGCCAGGAAACAGGCAGCCGAATTTCTGTGAGTTCAAGGTCAGCCTAGACTATAGTTCCTGACCAGACAGGGCTACATAATGAGAAAAGGGTAGAGCATGTGTCGGAGAACTACTTCTTGCCTTCCACCCATGATCCCCATGCTCCCAGTTTACTCAGGAGATCTTGTCTTTTTCTGTTTCCCATGTATTTTAGATCCATGTATGTCTCTCTTAGGGTCCTCTTTATTGTCTAGGTTCTCTGGGATTGTGAATTTTAGGCTGGTTTTTCTTTGCTTTATGTCTAAAAGACACTTATGAGTGAGTTTCTTGGTCGGGGTTACCTCACTCAATATGATGTTTTCTAGATCCATCCATTTGCCCGCAAATTTCAGGATGTCATTATTTTTTTTCTGCTGTGTAGTACTCCGTTGTGTAAATGTACCACATTTTCCTTATCCATTCTTCAGTCAAGGGGCATTTAGGTTGTTTCCAGGTTCTGGATATGACAAACAAAGCTGCAATGAACATAGTTGAGCACATGTCCTTGTGGCACGATTGAGCATCCTTTGGATATATACCCAAAAGTGGTATTGCTGGGTCTTGAGGTAGGTTGTTTCCTTATTTTCTGAGAAATCACCATACTGATATCCAAAGGAGCTGTACCAGCTTGCATTCCCACTAGCAATGCAGGAATGTTTCCTTTACCCAACATCCTCTCCAGCATAAGTTGTCATCAGTGTTTTTTGATCTTGGCCATTCTTAGAGGTGTAAAATGGAATCTCAGAGTTGTTTTGATTTACATTTCTCTGATGGCTAAGAATGTTGAGCATTTCCTTAAGTGTCTTTCAGCCATTTTAGATTCCTCTGTTGAGAGTTCTCTGTTTAGGTCTGTACTCCATTTTTTTTTATTGGATTATGTGATCTTTTGGTGTCCAATTTCTTGAATTCTTTGTATATTTTGGAGATCAGCCTTCTGTATGATGTGGGGTTGGTGAAGATCTTCTCCCATTTTGTAGACTACCATTTTGGTCTTGTTGACCACGTCATTTGCTTTACAGAAGCTTCTCGGTTTCAAGAGGTCCCATTTATTCTCTCAGTGTCTGTGCTGCTGGGGTTCTATTTAGGAAGTGGTACCCTGTGCCAATGCATTCAAGTGTATTTCCTACTTTCTGGTCTATGAGGTTCGGTGTGGTTGGTTTTATGTTGAGGTCTTTGATCCATTTGGGCTTGAGTTTTGTGCATGGTGATAGATATGGGTCTATTTTCATTCTTCTACATGTTGATGTCCAGTTATGCCAGCAC